TGAGGCCAACCATTATAATGTGGCAATGGTGGTATAAACATTTTCCAACTAATATCTTTAGTATAAATCGTACTAAATTCTTCTGCTAATTCTTCTGTAATATTAAAATCATTATTTCGTAAAATTTTTATTTGTTCCGCTTTCGAAAGAATTCGATCTCCAGGATGATCATAAACCAAATAAAATAAAAAGATATGTAATGCTTGCATGCGAAGAAATTTTGGACTATATCCATATTTTCTTGATATCCTTGGACCACATTTAGAACCTGATGGTATAGTTGTAAATTGATTATTTTCAGATGCAAGTTTAGTATCAATATTATAATTTTTGCTAGAATCGAATACTGTATTTTCTGAACGTTTTGTAGATGTTTTAGATTTTTGAGCACTTATTAAATAGAATTTCAATTTTACTTGTTCCACAGCTGATTGAATAACAGTACTATTAATAGCAATGTTTGGATCACATATAAATGTTAGATGTTTTTCTCTACCATTTCCGCTTAGAATTATTTTTATAAGTTTTACTAAATTATCTTTTGCAAGTTTTTGTAACAATCTTATTAAAGATTTTTTATCAATTTTCACATCATATCCTTCTTTATCTTCTTCTTCATATATCATCTAAAATAAAAAATGATTAATAAAAATAATAAACAAAAAATACAAACACATAAATTTTAAAAGTATTTTTAAATAATATATTATTTTACTTTCATCAATTTTGTCATATCATCAATGACTTGATGTTCTTTAACAGACTGTATAATCATATTAGCTCTTCGTAATAATCTATATGTAATATTTGTTACACTTCTCTTTTCACTATTTTGTACATCTTCCAAAAATCCATACATTTCATTTTCAGGTTTTTCTTCATTTGTTGATTTTAAAATTGTTAAATCAACTTTTATATTATTATATACAGCTACAGCTTTTTCATCTTTTGATAATTCAGAAATTTGTGATAGTATATTATTAGAATACAAATTTTTTTCTTTAACTGGAATTTTATTACTTTGGCATGATAAGTAATTACAGAAAGTACGTTTATATTTATTTGGGCGCATTGTTATATGATATTTATACAATATTCGATTGACAACATAAAATATTTTTTGCAATTCTATTGTCACTTTTGTGTTTGACACTTTCTCAATTGAATTATCCTTATTAACTTCCATATTTTTTTTTCTTCATTATTAATAACGGTATTTTTTTCGTGTGTAATCATTTTAGTTTTCTCTAAATCATCACTTTCAGTTGTAATTTGCTTTGTAAATTCCTTAATTTTATGAATCTCTTCCTTAAATTGTTTACTTAAATTACTAGTTTTTTCATATCTTTTTGATACATATTTTGTAAGTCTTTGTCTACCGATATCATTCATATAAGTAGCAACCATATTTTTTTTAACTATATTTCGTAAAATCGTCCGTGACTGTAATTTTGTCAGTCCCATTATTTTAGCTAATTTTCCTTGGGATATACCATTTTTATCAGCTTCAATTATTCTATATGTTTGTTTGAAGTAAGGTACACTATATTTATGATTTGAGATATCTAATTCTAAAAAATAATAACATGTTAAAAAATTAAAAATATCTAGATTGGAAAAAACATTTAAGTAAATAAATTATCTTTTTCTTTAAATAAATTAAAAAATATATAATTTTTATATTTCAAAATTAAATTAATATCTATCTTTCATAAGAGAATAAAAATGCTCTTTAAAAATATTGATTTAAAAAATGATTCATAATTATATAAAATGTATATAAATTATTCTAAATACACAAGAAAAAAATTTTGAAAAAAATAAATAAAAAATAAATAATTAAAAATAATTCTTAAATAAAAATTATTAAAATAATAAAAATGAAAAGCAAACCTTGAGATTCATCTTCTTCTTGTATTTCTTCTTTATTCCATGCTTCAAGAATATCAATATTTGGAGATAATAATTGTACTACTTTAATCCTTTTTTCTTTTGTAGGAGTATTCTTTCGCTGCCATTCTATTGGTGTTGCATTAGGATATAAAGTTCTATATGGTACTCTCTTATTTACATATACAAAAATTTTTTCTTAAATTATTAAACTAATATTATATAATTAAAAATTAAAGAAGAAATAGAAGTATAATATTTATGACTTACAATATCTGTCCTCACAACTTTTTGAAAAAATGGAGTTTTAAATAATTTTTTAATTGCATTTTTAATTTGCAATTTGCGTTTTATCTCATCATATTCTGCAACGTAATTAGGTTTTGATTTCAGAATTTTAATAACTTCTTCTGCCAAGAAAATTATTTTTGGTTTCCTTTCAACAAAAAATCTTGGAAGATGTAAAAGACTTCCATTACTACTGCAAATACCACTTCTTTGATGATGTATTTGTTTTGTTATCAATTTATGACGTAATAAAAACTTTCGATAATAAAATAAACTTTTAGGATCTTCTTTTAATGCACTAAGACTAAGTTTTCCCTGAGTAACTTCACCATGATATCGTGATCTTCCTACTCTTTCCAAAAAACAATACTGCATTATATTTAATTCAAGTATAGGAGATACTTCACATCCCATTAATGCATAATTTCTAGCAGATTGTGATGCAACAATAACTAATTTTTGTCCATATTTTTCAATAACTTCATCTAAAGTAAAGCTTCTTATAGATCCTGTAATATCTTTTCGTATATAATAAGTAGAACAAGATCCTTTAATACCATTTACAATATCATTTATAGGACAATGAGGATAAATATCTAATGGCACAGATTCCTGTATAAATATATAATTTTTTATATTTCTTATAATTTAATAATTTAATCTAATTAATTAAGTTTTTTAGAATACTTACTGGTTCTAATATAGTACCTAAATCAGGATCTACAAATTTATAACGATCAAAAATTTCAAGTGCTTCTCTTGCAATTTCTAATTCATAAAATGCAAATTCTCTAATTTGAACACATATTGACCATATTTGAATCATAAAGGGTTTTGAAAATGGTAAAGGATTATGAAGTCGATGTGCTAAACGTAACCATAGTGCTGAAATAAGAAAAATAAAAATGTGTTATGTTTTTATAATAATTCATATTATTATTAATTATTTACTTATTTCTAATAAATTTTTTTTTAATTTAAATTCTGCTATTAATATGCATATTTAAAAACAATATTGATTTAATATAATTATTATGCAATACTTATTAAAATTAATAATATAAAATAATATAAAATAATAATGATAATTATGTTCATTAAATTCCAGAAAATATGACATATGATATAAAAACATTAAATTAATTATCAAAAATATATATTATCAAAAAAAAAAATTTTTACAAATTAGAAAAATAATATATATATAAAATGTAAAAATAAATGTTAATATTTATATTACTTATAATATTTGTATCATATTATTTATTAACCTTCTACAGTAATACCATCCAATCCTTCTAATGCTACTTCATCAATTATCGAATCTACTAAATTAATTGATGGATATGATACCATATTGATATAATTTAAAATATAATAGATGATACAAAAAAATTCATATTTCTATTCAAATATTGTATATTTTTAATTAATTTATATTGTTAATTATGTATTTTCGTACATAAAAATTTGTGACTTCGCGGTCTATTGAGTATAGAATAATTTACATATATAAGTACTTATTTTAAACTGAGATGGCGCTACATTATATCAATAATATAGTAAAATAATAGAAGAAAGACAGAGATAAGAAAAATTGTGGAATCAATGCCATCTCTAGTGCTATAGATGAAACATATATAAACAAGAAGAGAGAATGAGGACAGAAATAGAATAAAAATATTGAAATTAATGCCATTTTCAAGAATGTCGCAAATTATACACATAAAAGAGGATAAAAATAGTAAAAAAAGAGAAATAAAAATAGTAAAACAAAGATAGAAATAGGAAAAGAATTGACTGTTATCTCTATGTTTCGATTGCTAAACATCGATAAGATAAAGTAGAATAAAAATTGAATATGAATGCCACCTTTCGAATGTTTTCAAAAAATATTTTTAAAAGATATTTTTGATAATCAAGAGATGACGCTGAAAATCAATTCTATATTATCTATATTCTATATATTTATCTAATCTCTACTCTTCTTTCTCTATCTTTCTTTTTGAGTTTCATTGAGCGACACTAGAAATAATAAAACTGATTTTAATATTTTTTTTAACTATTTTTGTGTTCTATATTTTTTTATTTTCATTTTTTTATAAATTAATTAATTTTTTCATATAATTATTTTATATGTTATAAAAAATTATTTTATATATAAATTATCATCTTGAAAATAATATAAATAAAATTTAGTAAGAAAACATTTTTATTTTTTTTATGTTGATTACAAAATATTACAAAATATTTATGTAATATATTCATAAATTCTATAATAATATATTTTAAACTATTTTCTACATACATATAAATGTATACATAAAGAATATTATATATAATGAAATTATATATAAAGATATAAAAAGAATAATATATTTTAATAAGAAAAGAATTTTAATAAAATAAATATGCACAATAAATATATTTTTCTGAAATTATTTAAATTATAAAAAATTAATTATTAAGTAAAATTTTTTATGTATTCTGCATTTAAATTTATAATCTTAAATTTTTTAATAGAATTTATAATTATATCTATAATATCTATAATAATTATAATATATATCATAATCAAATATTAATAATTATATTTAATAATATTATTTATTATGATGATTATAACAAATGATTATAACAAATGAAATATTTATTTGTATTCAATATAAAAAAAAGATAACTTTTTTCTATTAATATTAATATTTTTCTATTAATATAATTATATTAATTATTTTGTGTCATTAATTATAAATAAAAAATGTACTTTCTAATGTATATATTTTATCACAAAATATCTTCTTAAATTATTAATAAATTATCTTTTAAGTTGTTATGAATTTATTCCTCTTTTTTAATTGAATTTTTTTATTTTTATGATTAATAGTTTCATTTGAATATTTTTTCTTTTTTAAAAATTTTAAATTGTGTTGATGCAAGTTGTTATTGATTTCATTATTAGATTTCATTTGAGAAAATGATGATAAAAAACAGAATTTATCTGATGTTACTTGTTGTAAATCTTCTGTTGATATATTTGTCGTAATCTGTGACTTATTAAGTACAGAATGTTTATTTTGTATTGAATCTTTACATTCTATATTTTCATAATTTGATTTTTTCCTATCTTCTTTGTCAATAATTTTATTAAAAATTGCTGTTGATATAGGGACTGGAATAGGAATAGGAATTGGTATAGGAATAGGTAAAGAATAAGGTACAAATATTGTAACAGGAGATAATAATTTTGAAGATAATGAATGAAACAATTCAGTTTGATTCGATTGTTTAAATGGTGAAGTTTCTGAAGAAATATTAATTTGTTTTTGATCCTTTGTTTGGCTAAATTTCATTTCATTTGAACATGATTTAGATAAAAATGGAATTTCTTGATTTATTATATGTGAAGTTGAATTTAAAAAATATGATGATTTTAACATATTCCTGATGAATTAACATATTCTTTTTCTGGTAAATTTTTTATATCTTTTACATATATATTCTTTTTTAAAAATGTTTTATTATTTTGATGATTATGTGAATTGTGATTTATGATATTCATCATGTGTTCTTTTTTAGAATCCTTATAATTCAAATCATTTTTTTTTGAATAATTTAGTCTATAATGAGTTTTATTAGCCATATAATGCCAATATTTATTTTTTTCATTTATAGTTTCTTTATTATGTTCATTGATATTTTCATTCATTTCTATACAAAATTTTTTTTTTTGTTCATTATAATTAGTGGCTTTTGTATATTTTTTTATACATGATATTTTTTTTTTTTTGATACTTTTTTGATTAGATACTATTAACTTTTCAGTATTATTTTGTTCTGTTTTTATTATTCTATTATTACAAAAAGATGATGTAAAATGTGTATCAGCTGAACATATATTTTCTGTGGAATTATTTAATGGTGATTGACAACTTCGAAACCATAATTCTGGTGTTATTAAACTATCTTTTTCTGTGTCATGGAAAGAAACATTGTTTAAATCTTGAAGCATTAAATGAGTTTGTGTCTCATGACAGAAAATATTGATTTTATATTGATTTAAACATCTATTGCTACAAAATTGAAGTTGATTTTCACCATCCTGAAAAAGAAAATACCATTAATATTTTTATAATATATTAAAATTATTTATTTATAACATATTACATTATAAATTTATTTTAATTTAAGTTAAAATAAGAACAACAATATTTACATAATTATGTTATTTTATTTTTTTTTGTTTTATAATTTAATATTTTATTTACCTGAAGATCAATATAACTAGTGGGATTTTTTATATGTCTACACCAATCGCATATTTTTGTTTGTTTAAAAACTGTTCTTCTACTAGATACAAAACAAGTTTCACTACAAAAGTATTCCATAGAATTCATCATGTTATAAGAATGAATTTTTTCTGATTCATATGTTGGAGTATATGTTCTACTACACCAAGAACAAGATATGTTATCTATAAAAGTATCATATTGAATTTATTAAAATTTCTTTAATTTATAATAAATATTCTTTCTTCTTTTATCTTTGTTTATTTATTTATGTATAATATATATTTTATATCTTACCTGAATAGGTAGAATTTGAATAACTTTCATATGGAAATTTAGATGTACAGCCAAAAGATGCTGTTTTCATTGATAAGGGAGTCATTAATTGTTTATTCAGAGATAATAAGTAATTATTAGAATAAGACATATTGGACATTTCAAAAACTGAATTAGATATATTTAGTGATGAAGATTTTAATGTTAGTTTGTTTGAAACAATATCTTGATTAATTTGAAGCATTTCACTATTTTTTGTAATAGGTATAGATGTAAAATGACCCAGACTTAAACTTTTTGTACAATCACTATCCATTTTATCATAGCCATACCATCCCAATAATTCATTTATTGCATTTGTTGCATATTCCTATAATAATATATAACAATATATTATTCATTATGTATAAAAATAATTTTTTTCATATAATTTTATACATAATTGTTTTTAATTAATTTATATAGCAATTATATAATTAAAAATATTTTATTATATATATAATTATTAATAGTCAATAATTATTATTAATAGTATTTCCAAAAAAATAATAATATTTAAAAAATAATAAACAAACAGACTTTTGATAAATTATAATTATGTTTGAAGTAATAAATAAAAAAACAGATTTGAAATAAAAAATTATAATGAAATTGAATATTTACATTAATTATAATGAAATCAATAGATTATATTACATTTTAATAACATGCATTATGTTGTTCTCATGTTATTTATAGTATATGTATGTATGTACACGAATAAAGTTTGCTAAATTATTGTAATTATATTTATTCAATCCTTTATAAATGAAAAGAAAAATTACGAAAAAATTAAATTTTTTACAATTTTTTATTTTGATTTTAATATTGGAAATTAATAATTGCAATAATAATTTATATGACATAATTAATATGTATAATTTAATAATGTAATAGAGAAAAATATTATTACAATTTATAATAAAATTATAAAAAATAAACAATAAAATTTAATTAATTTTATTAAATAATTAAATCATACATATTCTAATATATTATTTTTTAATTGTTGTTTAATAAAATAAAAAAATAAATTAAATGTAAAAAATAAAAATGTAATACCTGAATTTCATCACTAGTTTCTCTTTATTTAAATGTAACTGGCATACAATTTTTTTGAGATGAATAATAAGATTCATTATAAGATGATGAGGAAAATACTTTCCTTGTGTTTTCTTCGATGTTTTTTAAAAATAAATTAACTGATTTATTGTCCATTATGAAATACGAACATGATATATAGTATGAACAAACTTAATATTTTTTTAAACAATAATATAATATTTTTTTAAACTTTTTAATAAAATTTCAAAAAATTTAATATTAATATTAATTATATTATATTTACCATATTAAGATAATAATGTTATATTAAATTATTTCAAACAAAATTATATTTTATATTTTTTTTATAAATTAATAATAAAATTACGTATTTATTTTTCAATTAAATATTATAAAAAAACGCCAATTGAACCATGTTAAATTTTAATTCAATGAAATATTTTATGATTGATTTTTTTTTTTAGTTTTTAATTTATTCCTCGTTTTCAATATCAATGTCAAATACTTGAATGATATGTGACTTATTTTACTTAATTTTATATTATATTATGTTATATTTTTAATTTGTTTATTAAATTCTTATTGTTTTATTAGAAAATTTATTAAAATCTTTATTATTGTATTTCTCCGTATTATATAAATTAAAAATTATTAAATTAAATATTATTAAATTACATGTTTATTTATTATATTGTTATATGTTTGCGCTATTATTATTACATTTAATAATGGTAAGAAATAACAATTTAAAATTTCAAAGAATTGATATATAAATAATATATTATGATATATAAATATATAAAACAAATATGTATTACATATATATATTCGAATTGGTAATACTAAAGCATCAAGTTATGCCTAATCAAATTTCACTGATATTTTTAGGCTACTAAGGTAATACAACTTGCGTGAAAATAGATTGCATAAATAACTCAATTCTTCTTGTCAACTTCGCAAAAAATTTCTCTGTTTTTTCAAATATTTATTTTTTTATGCACATCATATAATTTTTAATTATTATTCGATATTAATTATATATATAAAATTGTTATAGAATATGCAAAAAGACATATTTTATGAAAATAAATTATTTAAATATTTAAATAATTTTTTGTATAAATACCACATATACCATTTATATCATTTGCATAATAATTAAAAATAATTTTAGAAATGCATTTTTATTTATAAATTATATGTTATAATTTTTCAAAATTAGAAAACGAGATATAAAATAATATTTTGAATTAAATTTTAAACTTTGATATGCAAGCAAAGGATAGAAAAAAAATTTAATTTTATGTGTGCACTTTTTTTAATTTTTGAGATTTCTCACAATTATAATGTTTCTTTTTTCTTTTTTTTAAAGTTTCAAAAATAAAATTACAAAAAAATTAATAGATAAAACATAAAAATATCCGCGAGATAATTTCGTTACAAACCGTTCGCGCTCGTTCAAAGTCGATAACAATTGACGTGTTACAGCTACGATCGCTCAATGTGAACTAAACGATGGATTTTCGCGTCTATTAAATAATCGTGAAATCTTACGCTACATAACTTATTCAACTGTTTTTTGTCACATTAATTAAATGCTATACTAATTATATTAAATTTGTTATATATATATATATATATATTGGAAATTTTAATTAATCATGAATATTTTTTTAATATATCGTTTTATGATATTAAGTTACAAATATGAAATAAATTATTTATTCATATATAATAGAGGTAAACTATATTAACTTATATAAATTAAAGAATAAATTTAAAATTTATCACAATTTAATATTTTTAATGAAAATTAATTTGAAAAATCATAAAATTAAACAATTTCAAGATTAATTAGGATTAAAAAAATCTATATATTAAATAAAAACTATTTACGAAAAAATTAATATGATAAATTTTACATGAACTTACAAAGAAAAAAAAACACTTTTTTTAAAAAAAAAATATTTAAGGCTTAAAATAAAATGAAAATCATCCTACTATTGCAAAAGTACCTAAAATCATCCTAATATTGCAAAAAGTATTTGTATCATTTTATTTCTTATTTAAAATTAATTAGAACATTTTATAATATATTTTATTATTATAAAATTAATTAAAATATTAATATTTAATTTTTATTTTTTTATTGTCATTCAATGTTATTATAAATAAACTGATAATTGTAAATATAAAAATAATATAATATAATATATTCAAGATTTTCAAATAAAGTTTAAAAAAGTATGGTATATTAATTATTTTACTAAGTTATAGCAATTTATTGAAATAAAAAACTTTTTAAATTTGTTTAATTTCACCACTACAATGAGGACAACAAGTTATATTTGAATCGCTTCGTGGAAGAAAGATTTGGCCACCAATTGCAACAGCTGCTCCCATCACTGCACTACAAGCTACATCTTGTCTTCCTGACATAAGCAACTTTGGACTCATAAGAAGCTGTATAAAAATGAAAAAAAAAAATAAATATAAATAAAACAAAATAAAATAAACATTATTTATATTAAAATTATTATATAATGAAAAAATAATAAAGATTTACTTGTTCTGCAGTCTTCTCAGCAAGTGTTCTCATGTCTAAACCAATTATATTAATTCTTTTTGTAAATTAATATTTTCTACACCACTTAATAATTGAACTTTCAGAATTTCTGCAAGTTGGAAACAGCCTTGTGCTAAATCTATTATGTTTGTACTTAATAATTCATGTCTTTTGCAAGTAACAGTTGCAACAGGATCAAAATTTTCACGTAATATGCTAAGTATTCTAAAAAAATATAAATATAATATATAAATATATAATAATTATATATTAATATATATATATATATATTAATTTATAGAAATATTTGCATTAATATAATAAATTATATATGTTTTATAAATACAAACTTGTATGTTTTAAGAGATGTATCTCGTATAAGATTTCGATCTTCTAGAAGTCTTTTTATTACTTCCTGAAGATCTGTGGTTCTTTGACAAAGAGCTGCTTTCCATTTTGCAAGTTCTTCAACCATTAAGCTATGAAAAAATTACTAAGAGTTAATTACATATAAATTTAAGAAATTAAAAAAAATATTTGTGTTAATTTATTTTCATTTACCTACTGGCTAAGAATTTACTTCTCCAGACTTCACATTGACCAGCTAACCATTCTGTTTGTTCTTGATGAGTTGAAAGATGTTGAGCAGAATTTAAAAGAGCCCGAGCAAGTTGTAATTTATCTTCAGTTAATAAATGAACTTTTGTTTCAAGATCTTCTCCAACAGCAGCTACTAATAAGTTTTTTAATTCTCCATTAACCTATTATGTAAAAATATATAAGCAAAATTGTATAAAGTATTACTATTAATACAAAAAAATAATATTAAAATAATTAAATTTATATGTGTATATATTTTTATAAATTAAGAATTAGTCAAATTTTTAAATAATTAAATCATTTTAGTACTTGTGCTTGAAATTTTAATTGATTTTCAAGTTGACTATTTTCCTCTTTAAGTTTTTGTATTTCTGCTTCATATGCTTCTTTTTCTTTTAACCATTCATTTCCTACACAATTATTTTCATCCATTATTTTTAATTCATTACATGGTACTTTTGTTTCATGAAGTTTCATAGCAGCAACTTGAGCAACAGTCATATTTACATTTACATTATTTTTTTGTAACTTTTTATTTTTTTTTTCATATGGAATTATTGGATTAACTGCAGCTTTATATGGTTCATACGGAATAAATTTTGGTTCTTTTAATTTTAAAGAATTTAAAATATGTTTTTCATCTTTTACATTAGTAACATATTTTGGTTTCAAATTTATTATTGGACCATTTGGAGTAACTGGAGGAATTGAACTTAATTGTTTTAAATCTGTTGGATGATAAATTAATGTTTCACCAAGACGACATTTTGTCTGTTTAATTTCAATTTTTTCAACTGTTACGTTTTCCATTCCATCACCTTCTGTACGTTTAATCGAACCCATGATTTGTATATCTTAAACATTAAATTACATTATTAATATATAATAAAAAAATCTTAAAAATAACAGATATAATAAATATTTTTATTTGAATTTTATATAATTATTTTTATATTTTTATTATAATAATTATAAAATAAATAAATAAAATATTTAATTATTTATATAATGATATTACTATAAAATCAATTCTTATTTTTATATATATTTAAACATTTAAGTATATATAAAATTGAAATCTAGATATACAAAAATAAAATAATAAATGAAAATAAATATAATTACAAAAATAAAAAATATAAATACATTATAATTAAGAAAAATTTATATAAATAAACGATAAAAAGTAATCTAACCTTGTGATTTAATCTGAGTTTTATCTTTAGAATTTGAAATATTGGCCATTTTCTTTTTAATATATATTTATTTAAACAATTTTAATGCTGTTTTCTATAAAAATAATTTCTATAAATAAATTGTAAAGTACTTTGTATAAGTATATCAATCATTATCTATCCTCTATTTGATACATACAATTTAATAAAACGAATTCACATGGAATGAATAGCAAAATGAACATTACCTATATGTAAAAATATAGAAGTGAAAGTTTTTAATATAAATTATAACATATTGAGAAATTTATAAACCAAAATTTTTGTATTTTTATAATATTTAAATATTTTATAATTGTACAATATTTCCGTAAATATACAATTTAAATAATTTCTTTTGAAAAAAAGTTTCAATAAATTTAATAAATTGTTTTAATAAATTGAATAAGTAAATTAATTTCAAATTTTTAATTTTTAATAAATTAAAAAAATATTCTATTAACAATCATTGAACTTATATATATTTTCTAATAAAAAACCACGAGAAGTTTTTGTGAAAATTAATATCGATCGATTTCGATAATTCGATTTTTCAAATTTAATTTCAAATTTTTATATGATAAAGTAATTAACCAATTTATTTAATTAATACAACAAAAAAATATTTAAAAAAAAAATCTAAATTAAGTTATTCAATATAACTTCAACGAAAATAGTATTTAAGATAATAATTATATGCAAAATGCAAAATATCAATTAAATTTTATTATAAATTTTAATTTCTTTTTCAATTGATATGTTATTAAATCTAGGAAAAGATACATTATAATTCACAATTAAATATGGTAAGAATAATATAGAATAATAATAGAATAATAATCATATTTATATCATGATGCAATAATTTAATTTATAATTAATTAATATTTTTAATTGATAAAATAATGTACTTTCATAAATTTCAAATTTTAACTTCGAATATAATAACAAAATATATATAAATAAACATGCATATATATAAAATAGAATAATGTAATATAGTATATTATATTTCAATTAATAGCTATTTCAAATATAAAAAAGTTATGGATAAAAAAGAATATAAAAAATATAAACAAAGAATTGCTCAAACTGAAGCTAAAATTGATAATAAACCTCCACCATTTCATGTGGCTTATTATTATGATAAACATAATCTAAGAAATGATTTAACTCGAATACGAAAAATAGACAGAGAAAATATGGCAATATTAAGACGGATAAACATAATTGTCAGATTGGGAGTAAGAATAAAATATTTTATATCAAGAATATTTATTCCACTATATTTTTATTTTAATCATTTCACTATTTATTTAATATTATATCTTTTATTTTTATGTTTTGTTTTATGTTTATTATTGTAACATTAATTTTATAACATATTGAAAAATTATATATGTTTTATGTTTGATAGTATTCAAACATATATTATTCATAAATAAAGCAATTTTTCTAATTAAAATATTAACTGCATAAATATAATGATATTATTATATATATTAAAATTCATAATATATAATATAATAGTATATTATATATATATGATATAAAAAATTTATTAAAAATATATGCTTAATTTTATTGTATGCGAATTATAGGGAAATATTGATTGTTGGTTACCGAAAATAATATATAAGCCAAAATTTTATGAACAACAAACAGCAGAAAATAAAAAAATCAAGAAACAAAATAAAAATATATTACAAAAAATTCAAAATGCAACTAGTAAATATTCTACTGCAGAATTCATTCAAAGTTGGAAGGAATTGCAAAAAAAAATGGAAATAAAAAAAAGGCAAACTTTCTTAAACGTTAAACTATATTAACGCATTATGAAATAATACTTCTTATATGAATTTTATAGATATGAACATAAACCTTTAGTAAAAATTACTGGATTGCAATTAATTCCAGATCATTGTATGGTTAAAGATTTATCTTTACTAAAGGAAATGAATCCGTCTATTCGAACCAAATGTTTTTTTGAAATTGAAATTAAAGGAGATCAAAAATTAGGATGCATTCAATTCGAACTTTATAATGATATTGTACCTCAAACATGTAAAAATTTTGCAGAATTATGTCGTGGATTTAATGGTTTATCATATAAGTATATATGATTTTTAAAAAGATAAATTAACATTCCTGAAATTTTTATTTTATTAAATCATGAATTTAATTATTATTAAATTCATTATCAGATTTAATATAAAATATAATAAATTCGTATGATTATTATATCGTGATATTAAATCTCTATATAATATTATATATATATTATATTTTATAAAAAATAAAATAATATTTTGTGTTAGAAATACACCGTTTCACCGAATTGTTTCTGGTTATTGGTGTCAAGGTGGAGATGTTACAAAATTTAACGGAAGCGGAGGAACCTCTATATATGGCGATTTTTTCGAAAATGAGAATTATAATTTACGTCATGCTGGTCCTGGAATTTTATCTATGTGTAATGAGAATGAGAATAAAAGTAATTCCAAATTTAATCTTACTTTTAAACGGTTAGAGACGGTAAACGAGAAAAATGTAGTTTTTGGAAAAGTTATTGCAGGTCTCTCAAATATTTATAAGGTAATATTTTCAAATATTTATTTTAATAATATGATATATTTAATTTTAATAATATGATTGTAAAAAGTAATGATTTTAAACATAATATTTTATATCAATACAATATATTATAAAAATAAAATATATTATATCATAATATCATTAAATATTAATATAAAACCTAATATTTTTAGATCGAAGAATTTGGAACAAAAACGGGAAAACCATTTAAAACAATAATTGTATCTAATTGTGGTATTATATGAAGAAATAGAAATCATAGATAAAAATCAAATAAAAACATAAAAAATGAAACCAATTGTTAAATCATATATATGTATATATATATGAAATATTATATAAACATTTCTTCAATGAATATATATCGCAATTTAATATAGTTTAATTATTTTTCATCACAACATCAATTAATTTTTTTAATACATTTAATTATTTATATTAACTTTATTTATAAATATGCATAACATATATTATATATATATATATATATATAATGATTTATATATTAAGGAAAATATATAAGTAAATATTTGACAATAAACTATATTTTATTATATTTTTTTCAACAATCTCTATTCTTAATTAATTATTCATAAACGCAATTATCATTAACTATTTCATATGTATATATTACGTATATGTTATGTATCCTATATATTCTAATTTATTCATAATAATAAGGCATTTAAAAATTGATGAAAAAAATTGATAAAAAATCTTCTTAGTTGTATAGATATATTAAAATAACTATATATGATTAAAACAAGAAAGATATAAATAAAATTAAAGTAAAATAATGTTAGCAATGAAGATATATATAATGCAATAGAAATTATTTCATTTTATATCTAATTAATATAATTAACTATTATATAGTTTAAATTTTTAAGCTGGTATTCTTTTAGGATTTAAATCATACATTCGACGCATACGTTTTTTTAATTCTTGTGGAAATTTATCATAGCATTTTTTACATGCCGGTTTTAAATCGAATTCAAAAAACTTAGTTTTCTGATTCATTTTCTGATCACAAAAAGCACATGCAAAATGATGAACGCACCATGCTTTGTTCAAAGCTGTAAAAACTGAAAAATTAGAAATATATATATTATATATATTATATATTCTTTTATTATTTAAATTATATTTATTATTTTTATATTTTAATATTTTTAATTTGAAAAATTGAAATAAATTTGATATACTTGCCATCACCAGAAATTACTTGATTACATACAAAACATAAATTGCCAAAAAGTTGATGATAATGTGTTTCACAATAAGCTAAACCTTTCTTCTCATAATGACGATGACCTAAAAATGGTTTTTCACATTTTGCACAAACAAAATGTTCAACATGCCAATGTTTGCCTAAAGCAGTTACTACTCGTTCTTCAATTGGACGTCGACATGCACCACAAATTGGAATTCCCATTTTATCATGACATCTCAAACAGTATAACTCATTCTAAAAATATTATTAAATAATTAAAATATGAATTATATATCAATATGTTAGAAAAAATATTATTTTAAAATAATATAATTATGAACATATACCATTTCATTTGCAGCATATCCTGGTCTAGAATTAACTTCTCTAGCATCTGAATTAAGTTCTATACCACAAGCAGTACAATTAAAATGATAAGGATGATAAAGTTCTCCACGAAAACGAAGAGGTTTGTCATCAATTACACCACTAAAAATTATATTATAGATATTTAAAAAATATATTATTTGCATAATTTTTAAATTCAGTTATATAAATAAAATTAAAATTCATACTGGCATTGATGACAAATATATTTTCCAAGTGCTCCAGCTTTAACACGTGCATTACATGTGTGACACAATGCTCTACCCTGACATTTAATAAATCCTGCATCAGCCAATTCACCATTGCATTCTTCACAACGAAAACATCCTGGATGCCAATTAGCATTCATAGCTTTTATTACACGACCAATAACAAATTCTCCTACATAAATAATAATTCTTTAAATTCAAATATTTGCAATATTTTTATTTCATACTAAATATTAAAAACAATAACTTACCACATTTCTCACAACAAGGTGCAAATAAAACATGAAAATCATGTTCACAATATTTATATCCTTCAAATTCATAAAATATTCCATCTGGGAATGGACGAAAACATTGTGCACATCTAATAAAATATGTTTTTATTATAATTTTTTATAATTATAATATAATTATAAAAAAATATATATATAATTATAGATAATAATTACATTTAAATTTTATGCATAATTATTAATATCTTTATTACATTATCTATTTAATAATATTTAAATTATATTTTCTCTGCTAAAGAAAATATAATAATTTTAATAATAATTCAATAATTTAATAATTCAAAAATTTTAATAATAATTCTTACACAAAACATTGAGGATGCCATAATTCTCCATTTGAATTTACAATTTTCTCATGAGGTACAAAACCTTCTCTACATCGAGAACAAAACATATTATCCAAAGACATCTCTGTAACACTTTATTAAAATTTATATTATTAATAAAAATAATTAAATATAAAAATGATAAAATTATTTTTATAAATTAATATTTATTTAATTAATGATTGATTAATATAGTAAAATATATATTTTTTGACTTTATAATTGAATATAATTTAAATTTTTATCTAATTTTTTAATTATTAATCTTTTAATTTTTTAATTATAAGTAAAATAATTATTTTAATCAAATAATAAAAAAAAATTTAATAAAAAATATTTAATTTATTGAAAATTAACATAAATAAAATTTAATTAATATAAAATCATAAAATATATAATTAGAAATTTTCAAAATATTCTTATTAATTATCAAATTTTTAATATATAATGTATTATTTTAATATTATTATTTAATATATAATATAATAAATATTACATTACACTTTTAAAATTGAATGACAATAACTTCATTTTTATTATTATATAAAGGTATTCTTTTTTATAACATGTAAATATATAATTATATAAATATCATATATTTATGTTAATATTTATATTATATTTAAGTCGTTTCAATATTTTATCTCATTATATATATAATAATGGACTTAAAATTATATACCTGGAAACTAATTTTGCAGATGGTAGATATCCTATAACACTATGTTTCACAAGAGAAATTATTGTGCTTACCCTGGCATTCTTTAATGATAAAGAAGAATTAATTAAAGCACACAATTTTTATTAAATATTATTATTTTATTATTATTATTTAATGAATAGCAATATTATATATTAGATATTATTTAAAAATATTTAATATTTTTATAATTAAAATTATTATCATTAATATCAATCGCACTTTTTAAAATAAAATTTTATTTAGAAAATATACACAATATTACAAATACGTTTTCACATTAACAATAAATATATTCATTATATACTTAGTTAAATATTTAAAATAAAAATTACGTCATCAAATAATACACCATCTTTTTCGTAATAATCATTTAACAGCAATAACCAATCAGATGTTAGAAATATGGATTTACCTTTTGTGAAATATTGCTTCAAACTACGAAGTAGAATTATATAGATATGAAACTTTAATAAATACTAAATAAAATATTCATCTATACATAATATATATTTTTGTTAATATCTATTAGGATAATTTAATTATTATAAACTAAAAAATTAAATTTTCCAATTTTGTTAAAATTACATTTACAAATATAAAATTTTATTTACATAAAATTATTGAATTGCTTAATTTCTAAATATTTAATCAATATTGCATATTTTTCAAGAGAATTTTGTATATGATAATAATATTAACAATATTTTTCTTTAAAAAAATTATTACAAAAATTAGAAATAGAAAATAGAGTAATATAAAATAAATTAAAGATTGTTTCATAAACTAATTTTTAATAATTTTTAATATCATTATATAAAATATTTAATTAAAAATATTTAATAGCAATTCATTATAAAAATTATGATAATTTTAATCATAATTTTAATTATTGTTCATTATTGTTCATTGTTTAATATTTAAAATTTTTTTTAGTAACTATATAATTATATATGAATGTAAAATAGTTATACGTATAATTGTATGTATATTTTTTTACAATTTAAAACAATACAATATAATATTTATTTTTAAATTATATGAAAACATAATAATATAAAACATATAATATAATATTTGCATATAACATAATTTTGAGTAAATTATTAAATTATATAAATAAAAAAAAATAGTTTTAAAAATATATTGAAATTACTAAATTTAGTGATATGGCGCTGTTAGTCTATTAATCGATCGAAGAGTTTTATCAAAGTTGACACTCTGCAGCTACTTCTGTACGAATTGTTCTGTGTTCGTGAAAGAACAATTTCTTTCAATTAATTGTTAACTGTAATTTGAAAAATGGCATGGTTATGTAGTCGTATTGTTTTCCACAAATGTCGACGAACATTCTCTTGCAATGCTATTAAATTCGCAAAAAAATGAAAGTAAAGTGAACATATTATTTAAATAATAAAATAATTATAAAAAATTATTTAAATTTTTTGCATTTTTCTATTACGTAATATGATAATATAATTTATTGATTTTATATAATTTTTGATTTATATATAAAATAACGTTTTTTAATAAAATTTCTATTACAGCTTTTCCCGATCCATTGGAACTTGCCACGGGATTAGAAAAACGTGAATTACTTGCCGCAGCAGCTGGCAATTTTGTAAGTTTATATGTTTAATAATTTTTTAAACTAATGTCACATTTTAAAATTCTATTTTTTTTAAATACTTTTACTATTATAATATAAAATAACGAATCATATTTAAATCTAGTAATATATATTTTATTAAATAAATTTATTAAAATAAGATAATATCAAAAATCATTTGCAAACTATAATGATTTTTTATGTAATATCATAATTTTTAAATATAAATAGAATTTCATTTTTAAATTAATTTAGAAATTTGATTAAAATCGATAAGAAAAAAATTAATCATATATATATATATATATATAGAATTTATGTATATATATAAATATATAGAATTTATATATATATCATCATATATATATATAAATTCTTATTTTAATATTATCATATATATTTGTATGATAAAATTGCAAAATAAAAAATATATTAGCGTTTTCAAAAAATGGAAGTAAATATATGTTTTTAATTTATAGTGATTTTTTTTTATAGATTATAAATTTTTTTTTAATTTTGATTAATTATTATTATTTTATTTTAGGATCCATATCACATGAAAGCTATAGAAATATCACGTGATAGCACAAAGGATTGTCCAAATTTAGTACCAAGTGCATTCAAAAGTCGTATTGTTGGTTGCATTTGTGAACCAGATACTTCACATGTAAATTGGATGTGGTTACATGATGGTCAGCCACGCCGATGTGAATGTGGACATTGGTTTAAACTTACTCAAGTTGCACCACTTTAATTTAATGTCATTTCTTGTTAATTAGTCATTTGTTTAAAACATAGAAATAATGTTGTATAAAATATTAAAGATCGTTTTTATTTATTACCCTCTTATATTCTTTCTTAATATTTCATATATATCTTTTAATTTAAAATAAATTATTGAAATCATTAGTTTTTATGTTATATTTATTATTTAGTTTATTTCTAAATATTTATTTTAAAAATTGCAAGATAAAAAAACTTTTTTTTATAATATGAATTTATAGAAACATTGTAATATTAAAATTTATCTTATAATTAAATGATATAAACTTTTATATAGTAATTAAATATGTATATTTCCAATTAAATTATTTTAATAAATATTATTAAAATCTTATTTATAGTCTGTTTTCATATGTTTTTATACCTTTTATTTTAATTTTAATTAATAACATAATTAAACAAAATCACGATTAATTTAAAAAAATTATATTTATCTAATAATATATGCTAAAACAAAAACATAAATAATATAAATAAGCAAACATATTTAAAGTATATAACCAATAAAAATATAATACGTAAATCTATAATTATATATAAATAAATGTGTAAATATTTATTATATAAATTATTTACCTTAATATAGTAAAAA